GGTTGGAAGGTGAATGCTTCCAGTGCTTCATCTAGGTCACTAGAATATCAGGCTTGCTTGGAAGTTGATTTTATGTAGTCTTATGATTTTCCAGGAAACCACCAGATGGGAAGCGGGGTCGGACCTGGAGAGAAGGGAGACACCTGGTGAGGAGGTTGGGGGTCAGTTGTACTCTGGGGGCCGCCCTGCTCTTGCTATCCCTTTTGTGGGTTGCTCCTATGCAGAAAGGATTCCAGGCAGAGCCTGAGATGCAGCTTTCTAGGCTTTTTTTGCCATCTCATCTGGAGCCTTACCCACATAGGGCCACACACAGGGTGGCTGGTGCCTTTGGCATGGCTTGCCCAGCCCTCCAGGATCCATCCTGAGGTCAGGGACACACTCAGGAATTCCTGTGTTCTTTTTCTGTAAATGAGCGCCCAGAGGATTGACTTCATATATGACGGGAAGGTAGGGAGGTGGGGAGGAGGGGACGGCTCATCAATTGTGGTGCTGGTGCCAGCCCCGGCAGTCGCTTGGAGCAGTCAGTGTTTTCCTGTAAGCTTCAGTCAGTGACCCAGGGTTGCATTCCCTGGACGTACTTGATTTGGGATGGAAACAAACGTGGGTGGGTGGCTACTTCGCTTCTGAGACCTGTCCGTTCCTTCAGAGTTCAGTTGCCTCTTGACGCTTGGCAATCTCCCTTTCTGGGTGAGGGTTGCCAGCCCCTCACGAGCTTGTTCAGAGAAAAGGCTTAACAAAGACTCTTGGAATGTCCACGTGGATGGAAGTCCCAGGCCTGGCACTGGCCACTGTGACCCTTTCCGGGACACTCAGTACAGCATCCCCCAGTTGTTGGTGACCCAGCGCCCGGGGACAGCTGGAGACAGGGTCACGTGTTCACCTGGCCAGAAGGCGAGGCAAAGTGGATTTCCTAATCTGGGACACGCAGCAGGGAAGAGTTGAGGGCCTACCGCCCCTTCCACCCTCTCCCCTCCTGGCCTGGAGCGCGCTAGGACCCAGCCCTGCCGCTGACCGATCTAGGAGTGGGCAGGGCCTCCATTGTGACGTCACGGGGCGGGGCTCCCTTTAGCCTTGGCTGAGGGACAGACTGACGGACAGGCGCGGCGTGGCTGGTAAGGGTGAGAATTCGTCCCCAGCTTGGTTGCTCTTCGCTGTCCCGCAGAGCCACCTCGGGGATCCCCAGGACGCCCGGCCTGGGTCGCGATGCCCCCAGCTGGGTCGGGTGTCCGCCCCTCCCCCACAAGTGTACCAGTGTTGGGGCCGTGTCACCCCCTCCGTAGCCGCGCCGCACCCCTTCATTCCCCTAACCAGGCGGGGTGCGCTCCTCGCTCCTCCCGGGCGTCCTGCAGAGGGCGGGGCGCGCCTCTCCAGCTCTCCAAGTTTCCCGGGGCGGTGGAGGGGTCCGGTGCGTGCTGGTAACCCGGTGGCGCGCCCTGCCGAGCCTACTCCGGACGCCGGGAGTGCAGTTCTCCCTGCCCCAGGCCCTACCTAGACTTCTGGTCGGGCACAAGTGCTTCCCGGCCAAGCTTCTGCCAGTGCTTTACCCTCGCCCTCCCTTCCAGGCCGGGATGGTGGCGGACTGCGCAGGATAGCGGCGGCCATGTGGAGCTGACAATCAGCGTGCGTACACTGCGAGCGCACCGGAGCTTGGACCAGGTGGACTCGGGGGCAGGCAGCACGGCCCCGGTGCTGGAGATGGCAGCGGAAGGCTTGGGTTGGCTTCTGGTCCCGCTGCACCAGCTGGTTTCCTGGGTGGCTGCCGGGGCCATTTGTCTAGAATGTCCACCCTGAATTCATGAGTGGGGAGGTCTCTCTGCTTCTTTGCCTTACTCCCAGCCCTGGGCCCACTGTGTCCCAGGAGTGGGTTTTACCTTTGCCTGGATCTTTTAGGAGGTAGGCTAGTGAGTTGACTCTGAATGGGGTAAGCTGGCCACTGTAGTAGTATTGGAGGATGTCACCTTGCAGTTTGTCTCTTGCCAGGTGACTTTCTAAGGAGAAAGGATCAGTGAGTTCTCTCTTTCCTTTAACAAAAACTGGAAAACTGCATTTCAAAGATTCTCTCCTCCTGCTTTCCTCTGGGTGGAAGATGGAGGTCCCCCTAAGTCTAAGGTTAAATGGAAGCAGATCCTTTAATATAAGTGTGCCCATATTGTTGTTCTGTACACATTGGGTGGAGTCTCACTCTCAGGCAGACTGCCCAGTTGTAACCCAGGCTCTCTGTTTTAACTTGTGAAGGGACAGCATATGTTGAGGAATAAATTTTCTCCAAGTACTACTGCCTGAGGTTGGACTGTCGACCTGATTTTGAGAAGTCAGAAGTGAGGCCAGTTAATTTTCAGGCATGCTCCAGTGGAGAGTGGCTCTGCAACTGGCCTTTGCCCTGGGACCTCTGAGAGGACCTTGAATGTTTTTCAGTGTTGGGCAGCCTTCCATGGGATATGGGTAGACTCCATATCCCAGCTAGTGCCTGGGCTACCCAGGGCTTCTATGGCCACTGTGTGAAAGAATACACAGGCTTCAGTTCTCCAATACATTCTCGAAGACTGTGAGGAAGGGAGAAGCGTAGGGTCTTGGCCCTCCTGGGTGCTTCTGCGTGCGGATGTCTTTCCTGATCCACAGGGTGAAGGCCAGAAGTCTGCCCATCTGTAGAGACCCTGCTGCTCCAAGGTGATGTGATGGCCCTTCCATGCTTCTCCATGGAGTGTCCTGTAGCCCCAGTCTTGGTGTCCTCTCCAGGCTTCACAGGTCAGCATCCTCTTAGACTTCATATAGCCAGAGGCTGCAGAGTCTGTGCTTTAACAGAGCAATGCCTGGAATGTACATACATACTCCCTCCCCCGTTATGTAGCTTGTCTACAGTTGGAGAGCAGGTCAGGGATGTGGCAGATAGGGGAGCTCCTCCACACTAGAACAACAGTGGTAGAGTTAGAACCCTCAGTGCTAGCTGGAGACAGACCTCAGAACCCCAGTCCTTTCAGGAAGTATCTTTGCCCCTGTTGGAGATTTGATGCATAGTTTCTTAGGGCTAGAAAATCCTACAGGAAGGGGCTGATTGAACTGTAAAAACCCAGTGATTCTGAAACTTGTGATACTCTTGTGGCCTTATTTTTTATAATCCTCATCATTTTGCAAAACTAGCCTTTACAGACTGTTCTCCATGAAATTTTGGATGCAGGATTTGGCATTTGTGATGTTAGAATCCAGAGTTAGAATCCTGTAACGAATAGGTTTACAGCCCATGATAGGTAAAGAAGCGGAAAGGGGCCAGGGTGGGCAAGCCAGTAGGAGTGCAGGATGGGTGCCAGAAGAGCCCCAGGCTCTCCTTGGGCAAAGTTTTTAGTGACTCTACCACTGCTGGCAGGGGTTTTTGGCTCTGAGAGTGAAACACTGTATCTGAGAGGTGGTGACATTCTGCTACTAAGGTGATAGCTTCATTCTCTCTGTGATCAGTCTCTCTCTGTAATCAGTACCAGATCCTTATGTTCCTATAAGAATCCTTGGACACACTGTCCAAGCGGCTCTGAGGATCAGGTCCACACCTGTGTGGTGGTGATGGCCACTTGCCCTCAGAGGAACTGTGCTAACCCCTGTTCTTGGGCGGGAGAGGAAGAGCACTCTCAGTGTACTCAATAGAAAACGATTGTCATTAAATTTGGTAAGTAATGGCACCTTTTTATATCTTTAAAAGTTTATGACCTTAAACTTTGTTTCCTGTTTATTTTGTTCCATATATGTCTTTTGGAGAAAGTTGTGCTTTTTGAAATTTTGTGTCCTATTTCAGCTGCCTTTCCCAAAGCCAGCCAAATCCTTAGCTCTGCTCCCTGGCACTCTGTTAAGTGTGTCCAGGTGTGCCCACCTAGACAGTAGCATATTCTATGGGGATTGATAGACAATGTCCAGAGCAGGCTAGAGTTCTGTCTGACAGTGAGCTGTTTGTAGACATAGACTGGCAGAAGATGAAGATAGCACTCAGTCAATTACAGGGTCAGGACTCTACATTGTTGGAAGCTTGTCCTCAGGCAGGCCTTTCAGACACACTCTTTGAGGGCTGGGGGCCAAAGTTGTCTTCTGGTCTCCAGTTGGTCTTCTACAGATTTCTGGCAAACGTGTCACTGCAGTTTTGTGAAATGCTTATCTACTTATTCATTCTGCTACTAAGGTGATAACTTCTATGAAGGTGATAACTTCTTTTGTTCATTTGTAGGAAGTAGCTAGATTTATAACTGCTCTTCCATATGAGTTTTTACTTTAGGACTTTATTTTTGGTAGGTATGACTGGAATTTAGGCTGGCTATGACCTTGTGATCCTCCTCCCACAATCTCGAGGCCAAGTGCTAGGATTACAGGAGTGTACCATCATACCTGGCATGTGATTTATAGGTTGATTTTGACAAGTTTCTGTCACAGTAGCTAGATGGATGGTTGTGGTAAGATAGTGTCCCTGAGCTGGCTTGTTGCTGGCTGTGGATCAGCAAGACCTTGGGTAGAGAATTCTGCCCTGGGTTTCTCCTTTGTGCTGGCTCAGGAGCTGCATTAACCAGTCTTACTGGCTGCTCGCCTCAGCTCAGAAGGTGACTCATGGCCCCAGAGACCCAACACACTGAGGGGCCAAAGACCTGGAAGAGAAGGCTAGGCATGTTGCTGGGTTTTGCAGTTTTCAGGAAAAGATGGCAATCAGCTGCAGTGTAGGATCTCCTGAATTTGGTGTCCTAAGGTCTTGGAAAAAAAATTTTTTTTTCATGCTAAACAAAGTCTGAAGCCAGTTCTAGCTTGGATTCATGCTTTACAGTGGTGGGGTTATGATTAGGTTGGGGCCTATCCTTGTCTGAATGTCACAGCCCTATGCTGTTCCAGAAGCTTACGACCCGGTTGGTAAGATACTGAACGCTAGTGGGGACTGTGGCTGGGAGGACTGGCTAGGGAGGGAAAATGGCCCTTGTCATGGACATGAGGTCAGGGAAAGTTTTGATGGGGACAGCCCAGAATGGTTTCTCTTGTTAATGAAGGATACATGTGGAGATTTGTCCCCAGGCTGCTTGTCTTTATGAACACCTCCCCAGGTAGGAAGCAGAGCTGCTGTGGTTTGAAAAATGTTGACTTGCCTAGTCAGGGTTAGACTTTGGTAGGAAGGTGGCCATGCAGGACTCTCTTATGCCAGCATCTGGTCCTGGGTGGGGGTCTGTTGACTAGGCCAGAGAGTCCCTGGAGGGGGAATATAGAATTTGGAAAAACTTCACGTGGGCATGGTACTCACATCTCCTGAGTTTGACCTGGGTCCCATGGTCCTTCTATATCTCAACCAAGTCCCACACAGATCCTAGGAGATTATGCAGTAAGTGCCAGGGCTGTGATGGGTACCAAAGACCCTCCCTGGGACTCTTTTCCTTTACGTGGCTCAGGATCTGGTGGAGAGGTGGTGGAAGTGCTGACATGGGGTCTGTCTCCTTCTGCAGGTTTGGAAGGCACTTTGAATCCCCGCTCCTGTGGCAGAGCATTGTCATGATCCTCACCATGCTGTTGATGCTGAAGCTCTGCACCGAGGTTCGTGTGGCCAATGAACTGAACATAAAACGCCGTTCCTTTGCAGGTGGGTGGTAACAACTTCTGGAAATAAGGTCTTCCTAAGTCAACGAACAAAACTTGGCTCTTGTTCATTTGGGGACGCAAAAGCCACTTTAGTGTTTTCTGGGCAGCTTTATGTTCACTAAATAGTGATTATCTGTAATTGGTAGTAGTATTTTCAGTCTTATAAATGACTAAATATTTCATAGCCTGGAACAATTTAAGATAAGAATTTCTTTGCTGGAATTTAGGTGAGGTTTTTACTCATCTTCCCAGTACTTCTGTTCACATCTTGTCTCTGTCTTGTCATAAAAGAACCTGAGAAGGCAGTGTTATTTCTGACTGTGTGTGGCGTCTGGTGAAACAAGCCTTGTTGGTGTGGCCTTTAGCCGTATCTCAGGCTTGTAGAGTCTCCCACCTAGAGTACACACGCATGCTGTGCTCTGAGAAACTAAGCAAGACCCATTACCTGTCAGCACAAGGTACTCCTTGACCTTGAGCAGGTCAGAAAACACAAAATATTTGCTTTTTGGGGGTCTCTCCTGTGAAAAAGCTCTTTCTGATATGGTATTCTGTAGTCATTGTAGGCTGATGGACTTCTTGTACACAGGAGGGTTAGAGCCCCCTCCTCCACCCCCCACCCCCGCTTGAGACAAGTTCTTTTTATATATAACCCAGGCTGACGTCAAACTCTTATCCTCTTGCCTTAACCCCTTAGAGCTCTGACCACGTATCACCACACCTAGGAGATGCTAATGGACTGACGCAGCTCTGCCTTTGGTTGTATCTGAGATGTGTGTTGAACCTTGCTTCTAGTATTTCTCCAGTTTGTTTAGTTTGGGAGCTGCTGAGGAGGTAGTATTCATTATTTTGTATTCCTGATCATTTTTATTTCTTCCCATTAACAGGATCCTCCTGTGTTTCTGTTTACACCTGTTTTTTGTAAAACAGATGGTACCATCTCTGTCTTCGTACAAACTGGCCACCTCTTGCTTTGGAGAGAGGCCTATAAGGATGATACCCTGTGTGTTTTTTGGCATGTTTTCATCCATTCTTTGGGTACCATCCCTTTTCTCCTCCGAGTATCTATTCTCTGCTCTCCTATTGTGATTTTTGTTAAGATGATACCCGAGTTGGTGCTGATAGTAGCACAAACCTGCCTAGAAAGAAAACAGGGTACTATAGGAGCTGAAGCTTCATGGGTCTACTGGTGCCTTGGGCTGGCTTCTTAGAAACAGGTCTTGCCCTTCTTCTCTATGCCCCAAGATTCCATTATACCAAGATCTGAGCACTCTCCACCCCTTCTCTGCAGCCTCAGGATGGAGACATTCTTGGAACAGGATGTCATCACTGCTGCAGGATGGTGCATTCCTCATCATGTTCACACATGAAAATGCTGAAAGGCTAAGGGGGTAGTTGTGCCCAAGGTCCCAGTGATTTGCTTGTGACCTTGTTTGCAGTGTGTGTAGGCTCTGTTGGTGACCTATGTCAGATGTCAGATACAAAGCGTTGTGCCTAATGCAGTGCAGCAGACTTAGAGCCTGACTGCACTTATTCAGAACCATATTGAACATGTCCCTTTACCCCAGGTGAAGCAGGAAGCTTTAAGAGCACAAAGACCGTGATCCCTTACATAGGAGAATCTAGCCCAGAAAGGCATAGACTCTGGTAACTTGGGGTGAGTTAAAATAGTGAATCACAGTATCTAGGGTTAGGGATGGGGTTTGAATTCTTAGCAAGGTCTTTTTATGGGTACAATACCAGAACCAGAGATGTCCCTCTAATCCAGGAGCCTACGGTGGGAAGGGCCTCTGCAGGTGTGATTAGAGTGGGTACCTTGAGGTAGACTGCTGTTCTGGGTCTTTCTTGTGGTCTCATCTAATCTCCAGGAATAGGGCAGGACTCTCATGACCTTGGGCTCTGCTGGGCCTCAGACCTCCTGAACTCTGCACTGGGGCAGCTCCTCTGTCTGAGAAGTCTTGATAGTTACATCTTAGCATTTTTAGTTTTTGAGTCCAATTCACATGGCTTGTCTGCTTTGTCTAAGATATTGATCCTAGTATATTCTGGAGCATTGGTTTAGTGAAACGTGTGGGTTCATTTACTTCCATCAGCCAGAAGGAGGAGGGCGGGGTGTAGGAAAACCCAGAAGTGCACTGTGGTGCCATCTTTCAGACACCTAGTCAGTCCTGCAGCTGCCACACTCCTGGGGCCCAGGAGGAGTCTCACTTTCTTGCCAGCAGCTCCACTTTGCACAGAAGATTGTTGCTTCTGAACAGACGCTTCAGCATCATTCCAAGAATGAAGTTGTCTTGGTAAGCACCTTGGGCCTCATGAAGCATAATTCATGATAAAGAATCATTTATGCAGGGGCTGGTGAGATGGCTCAGCAGGCAGAGGTACTTGCCATTAAGACTGGTGACCTGAGTTTGATCCCTGGGACCCACATGGTGGAAGGAGAAAAGTGACTCTCTCAAAGTTGTCATGACCTCACACACACAAATTTTAAAAACTGAAAAAAAAAAAAGAATAATTTGTGAGGAAACTCTGTGTGTGTGTGTGTGTGTGTGTGTGTGTGTACATACTTGTGTGTTGGGTGTCCTCCCCCACCCAC